CGTTGAACGCGCCTGTCCCTTGTTTTTTACAGCCGCAATAAAACAGCCTACGCTAGATTTCCAGCCGAATTACAGGCGAAATTCCGCCGAGGCCGATCTCGTCCCTTCCTATCGAAATCGTTCTCTATCTTCGATCGTAAAGCAAAAACGACGGAGAAGGAGGGAATAGGGAAGGACAGCTCGTAAAGAGAGAGAGAGAGAGAAAGAAAGAAAGAAGGGAGATTTATTTTCTTTTTCCTAGCTTGTGTCCATTTTCTCATGGAATCGGTTAAAAAGTCGGATTCCAAGCGTGTTCGACGAGAGAGAGATTTTATTCGAATTATTATTTTTCTTTCTTCTTCTTCTTCTTCCTTTCGTCGCGTTACCCGCCATCAGAGACAACTCATTTCCCACGAAGGAATTTTTCAAACTCATCTTCGTCACGAAAGCATACAAAATTTCGAATCCTCCCAAAGATTCAAGATTCAAGGGAATACCTCGAGGGACGTAACTTTGCGCGATTAATTATTTGAAAAGTTTCCTTAAACGAGAGATAAGCTCGATGAATCGGCCGCTCATCGCGCCAATCATCCCTTCGAAGCTTGGCGAGTGTCTGTCTGAAACGTTGTTGGTGGAGAAGGAGGATCGAGGTGCGAAGGGAAGAAAGAAAGAGAGAAAAAAGAGAGAAACATCGGTGGAAAGGGTCGAGCGGGAAAAAGCGCGAGAGAAATAACGTCACGTCGTGTATCCAATTACGTTGACCGTAGCAGCAGAATCGTTGAAATTACGCATTAGCCTTGGCAGCAACCGCTTTCGTTCCACGGCTTTTTCCTTCTCTATCTCTCTTCGTCCCCTCTCGATCCGCGGGAGAACGAGAAACGAGGGAGAAGGGAACGAAAGGGGAGGGCGGAATTGGGTGGAATTTATCGCGATGGAGGAGAGGAGAAGCGTAGAAGCGGCGAGTGGGGAGAACGCAAAAGGAAGGGTTAAAAAGTTGTTGTTGTTGTTGTCCCAAAAGAGGGCGGAGATGGGGTTAAGATGCGATCGAGCTAATTAATACTACTCTCGGAAGAGAAGGAGAAGAGGAGGAAGGGGAGAATTTATCGTGGGGCGCGAACGAGGAATAAACTCGTCGACGAGAGAAACCGAGATGATTAAACTAACGAAGAAAACGAACACCGTGGAATTTTTGCAAGCAAGTTGCAACAACCCGAAAAATCTTCCCTCAAGAGAAATTCTTTGTCAAAATTGAGGACAATCGTAAACGAGAGAATTGTTTCCTTTCTTCCTCTCCCTTCTTCTTAATCCACTTTAGAGATTTCGATTGAAATGATCGATAACATCATCGAGAGAGGAGAATGAAAGAATACGAACAACGAACAGGGGTGGAGGAAGCCGTTCCTTAAACCGTGATTGACGATAAAACGCTATATCCTTTCCTTAGAGAAAAAATGCGAGGAGAGTCCATCCGTTCGAATTTCCCCCTCGAGGTTTAAAAAAGGCTGAAATTTGATTTACAGATCCTCCGATTGTCTCGTTGAACCTCGGATCGACGCTAAGTCCGGAGGACATCAAGGAAGGCGACGACGTCTACTTCGAGTGTCACATCAGGGCTAATCCTGCCTGGTCCAAGTTGACGTGGATACACGACGTACGTATTACATCCTAATCCCCCTCTTTTCAAATCGAACCTGCTTTCCTTTTTTCTCTCCTCCTTCCATTGGAAGGAATGCACCACTTTCCAAGAATCTTACGCCATTATATCCCTATTAAAACCGAGCCAGTGGTGCCATCTCGTAAAATGGCGTCTCCCGTGCGCAAAAATATACTCGAAGCACAATGGGGGACAGCACAATATGGCGGATTCGCGGTGGACAAAAAAGACAGGAGAGAGAGGGGAGGGAGGCAAGCGTTGCAGGTAATTTACGCGACAACGGGGAAAGGGGCTTTGGAGAGGAGGCAGGGGGAGAGACTCGTGTAATGGCTCGTATATTTTACAAGGAAGAAACTTTGAATCCTTTATTTGCATAATATATGAGACGGTTCGACAGGGTCGATCCTGGGAAGCGTTAGAACGCGAACTCGGTGACTCGCGCGGAAACGCAGCCGCGTCGAAAGCCGATCATCTCGCGGATTTATGGGGAGAAGCGATAAAAGACCCTCTCCATTCGCCACCCTCTCTCTTCGACAGTCATTACACCGGCCAAATTTGTTGGCCCGAATTTATAAGCGGGGCAAAGCGTGTATGAACGCGGATGAGGGACGATGTTTGACCTTTTCGCGAGGAATTATTTTTATTAAGAGCCTGTTAAGGTGAGTTTTATTTTCAACAGTTCGATAATTTCTTAACGCCTTCCGGGTCTTTAATTTACCAAAAGATGGACCAAAGGATTGGAGGAAAAAGCAAGGCTTGCAGTTGGAATGGAAATAGAAACTGGACAGATTCAGAGATACTTGAAAAAAGTCAGAATCATTAAAGTACCACCATTCGATAGCAATTTAGGCATCGTGCAATACCCAAAGTCGTTCACCTCTCGACTACAACAAACCGTCTGCTCGATAAAAAGAGCAAATCCAAACCGAGACCAGTGCGGAGGAGGAGAATTTTACGCGTGATCCGATCGCGAAACCGGAGAAACTTTGCTAGGGATTCGGTTTCGATTTCGCTCGGGGGGGGGGGGAATCTGTTTAATCTGTTTTGGAACTCGTGTTCGGGGAAAAGTGACGTGTCGAAGGGCAGGGAAACCCGAAAAAGTCGCAACGATGCAAAGACACCTTTTTTCCTTTTCCTCCTCCAGCCGCTTCTCGTTCGAGGATACATACGCGGTTGAAGAATAAAAATTATGTGACTTCCACCAGAGATTTCCTTTCGAAATTGCTGGTCTCGAAATCGACCAGCCTCTCCTCAAGTACGTAATTTCGGTCACGGATCATAGCAATAACACAACGTTCCTCGGATAATACGAATAAACGATCGGCTTTCTTCGATCGATCGGAAGGATGTTTGCCTAGGAATTAGAGGAGGCCATCGACACGTTCCATCCCCCCCCCCNATCCCAAGGTAGCAATCGAGCCAGGATTCCGAATTGTCGGTCTTAAAAAAACGCTTCGAGGCATCGACAGCCGGCAGTAACCTCTCGAACGACGATCGTAAAGACGGAAGGAGGAGGAGGAGGAAAAAGAATTGGAATATCGGTGGGTAGAGAAGATAGCCTGCTATAATGGGGTACAGTGATTAGGCTGGCTATACCATTCACCGGGACAATAGAGAGGTTCTGTAGCCAAGTATCGACGAGCCAATCGGCCTCCTCGTGAGGGAGGGGTGAAAGATTTTCCCCGACTCTTCATCTTTCCTGGCAAAGTGGATTGACCGACTAGACAACCGGAAGAACCCTATTAATGTCCTCCTCTCCGCCTAAATATAATAGGGGGGAGAGACAGATCGAATACTTTTTTTTGAATGGCCACGAAAACTCCCCTCGAAATTTGTTCCCGGGTCGATGCCGATCCCCGCGACTCTTTTGGAGCGAATTCCCAACGAGGGAGGATCGTTTCGAAACGGATTTCGAAGGTTGGAGGGAGAAGACTCCTGGATCGTTATTTGATTTTCAATACCGGGCGTTATTGCATCTCGTTGCAACGAGAATTATCATAGTTATATGCAACTTTAACAAGTTAATATGTACAAACTATAATGTATATTTGGA